AGCTCTGGCCTGATGGGCCACTTGGCTCACATGCAGACTTTACCTTCTTGATTATCCCTGACCCCTGAAACCAGTTATCGTACCCTAAAAGATACTTACAGGAATATCAGTTGCTTCCAGCAAGGGGAAAATCTCTGGTTCAATGGAATGCAGTTTACACTGAACAGCTGCTTGTGAGTGAAACACCACAGGTGTGGCACACACATCTTTGTTTATTAACACATGAGACACATTTTTTCCAAACCTAGTAACAGAAGTTATAACATGATTGAGAAAATCACTCCATTGTGATTGGCCATGAGCAGACCAATTTATTGCAGCTTTTTTTCAATTTCCATTGCAGTGCAAATTAACTCATCCGTGTTTGTAATTTTCTTAGTCATAAAATGAATGAGTAATCATATGAATTAGAGTGTAACTGTATCTTTCGAATTACACTTGCCTATAAAGGCTCATGCAATTTTGAGAGACTTTCAAATATCACTGTCTAACATAAATTGCACAATCTCATCAAAAATTGAAACACAACTGCAAAATTTAATTTGAATTTATACTTGACAGTTTAGGCTGTTGTTACCAGTAACCATAACCATACTCATCGTTTTAAAATAAAGGTTATCTATCTATCTATCTATCTAACCATTAACACATTTTTATACAGTCATATTATTACATGAATGCTAATCTAGGGTGGCTTACCAAATGACATATCAAAAACTAATTTATGGGGAAATAATTTACTAAGAAGGGAACTACAGTTTCCTTTTTACAAATAACAAGTAACTGATTTCACAACAAAGCAAATTTTTACTTAATTCTTGATCACTTATACTCAAAACTGTTTGATTTCAGAGAGTTTTCAAGTCACTAAAGGTTCCTCAGTAACTTATGGGTTAGATAACCAGTAAAATCTGACGAACGTAATGATGCTATACATTAATGGCACTACATGTAATTGATTAAGAAAATAAATATTTCAATGTGGCTAAATATAATTCAGGCAAAGTGAGACTTGAGCCAATGCAGTCAGCGGTTTCTCCTTTGATTGTACGTGACCTGTGAGGCAGCCCTTAAGGGATTTGCAGACCTCTTGTACTTCACTGCACTACATGTGCAGTTCTGTTAGCTGATCTTTGCGGATCATTTGCAGAGTGTGTTAGCCAATCTTTAGGGACTCTTGTACTAGATAATTGCAATACTAGTAAACAAAATTATTGATCTATCACCTTTTCCTCCACTCGTCATACTCTTTACTCTGAAACACTCTCATGGGGGTCAGATGCACCATAACCACAGGTGTTCTATTTGGCCCCTCCTCCCAGTACTGGCCTTCCCAGTGCTGGCGTAGCCGCTTATTAGACACAAGTGACGGAATGAATGCCAGTGTTGGACAATCGATGATTATGAAAACTGGACCAGGCTGACAAGGTCCTGTTACCTGCTCAGGTGTTATCTGAAAAACAAGTTCATCAACTCAGAAAAGAGTAAAATTGTAGTGACAAAAAATCAAGTGTGACCACTGTTTGAGAATGTTGAATCAGGTTTTGTAGAGGCTAGTAAGAGTGTTGGTCAAAGAGTGTTACTGAAACTTTCATTAACAGTCAGAACTTTAATTCAACTATGAAACATTGCAAAAATTGTTGAGAACCTTCAAACTGACCTGCCGTCCATCTTCTAATGTAACAGCTTTCCCTAATTGTAAATCAGCAAACAAAGGTCCTTTAGGGACACCTAGCTCTTTAGCTTTCTGGGGGAAAAACCTCCCTGGTAGAGAAGAAAGTTGACAGATGTAGCAAATAGATGAAGATGACTTAGAGTCTTGCTTCCATTTCTTGATTGATGGCTGTTCACTCTCATCACTTGAGGAGGTGGTGGTGGAGTCATCTGTTGATTTCACCCTCTCGTCTGCATGGCTTTCTAGATACAATATAATAGACAGACACAGGATTTTAGAGAAGGGACGGCGAGATACGGACTGCCAAAGGCAGTCCTCTATAGGGATCCTGGGGAAAATGTTTTAAATTGAGGTCCTCAGAAATGGGATTTGCAGCATTCTGAGGCCTGAACCCCTGTTAGATCCGCCCCAGTATTAGGAGTGGTAAATGGTAAATGCAAGACTTTGCGAGAAAGGGAGACTAGTGTTTTTCATTATGAGTATCGGACTTCAAAGTGCTTTATTTTAAAGCACTTTAAATGTGAGTGTGAGATATTCAGATTCTAAGACGTCCAGGCATCAGTTATTAAAACAAACAAAAGACTGAGGACTTTTAGACTTTCTCAGTCATGCAAAAAAAATCAAGACTCTGAAGCAGCTTTGTGACAAAAAACAAGACTGTGAGATGCACATAACCTCTAAAAAACAAGACTGTGAGACTTGTGAAATTCAAAAAAAATTTTGGGAGACCCATTGATAGTTTTTGAAATAGTATATCAAACACCAAGAAGAGAGTTGACATTATTGCATGCAGTGGAGTATTTTTGACAAACTTTGAGGTGTTTGGGAATGCAGTCAAACACTCTCTTGAGTGTTTGATATACCTTCTAGATATAAACTAAAACTAAGGGGAGAACAGAGAAATAGAATCACAACAATTTGTTTTAATTAAGATCAGATATCCAAACACTGTTATGGTCAATGTGAGGGCAAAAAGTTGCAATTAATTTTTGCCGGATTTGTTTCCTCTGAGGATGAGCTTGACAAGGAAGTGAGATGGACATTTCTGAGTGAGTTCTTCTTTCAGGAGAACTCAGAATTCTTTTTCCAGTGGAAGCAGATAAGGAAAATAGATAATTAAAATAATATTTTTCCTTAATCTGAACTAAAAGATCCAAAACTATAAAACAGTAGCCTAAAAAACTCTTCTCTTCTCCCACTTGTTCCATAATGAAAACTGCCTTGTCAAGTTGGGTTCCTTAGTTAAAGATGATTTCCAGTCTGTACTGTGCAGTCTCAGTACCCTAATGTTTATAAACATTTTAAATCTCACTTGATGGAATGCAAATCAATGTTATTTGTTACGAACCACATACCTTATCTTTGAGGCCTTTCAAATTCTTGTTTCCAACAGCTTCACTGATTTTTACTGCTGTGAAGCTGTTTCATCAAGTGATATGAGAAAGAACGAAGCTTAAAGCTTTGACTGCTTCGCATCCGTAATGGCAGTTGTTTCGAAACTTTGAATTCATTTCATGTAGGTAGTTGCAAAATGTTTACATTTTGTGACATCTTACACGAAACAAAACAAAAAACACAAACAAACTCTTGAGAGTGTGTAATACGG